AATCATCATCATATGTTTTCGTGTATGCAGGTAGGATATATGCACAAAGGATTGTTGTAAGCGCTATGACGTTTGCGTCCTTTTTTTATGCCTATCAATTACTTTTATGCGGGTTGTCTTCGTCAAAGAGAAAAAAAACCTGCTCAAATTATCATTTATCGTGTTGGTCACTTTTAAATTGATATTTGGATTATATTTAACGCAAATCAACTTTAGGTAATCAGATATAATCATTCGGTTAGAAGCAAATTTTTGGTCTGCTTGTTCCATGTCCCAGTAAGAAGAATTTAGCGGTTAAGTAATTAACTAAGAGTAATCAAATTTCCCTAACAGAGATCAAATAAATCCATTAGGTTGAAGCATTTGAGGATCTTTAGGAAACGTCAAAAGCCCATCCGCTCGTCAATCTATGACCGGTTGGTTTTTTGGACGGAACAACTGCACCAACTCATAGCAGCATTTTCTATGCAGTCAGTCTTCGACTTGTCCTGGAAAACCCAACCGAATGAGGAATTAGTCGGTCGCTGTCTATCGTACCGTCGTCTGCGCACGCCACTGAGTCAGTATTAATACTTGCCGTTAAGCGACAATTGTGGCAGTGGTGAAGGCGACAGCAGAGACGGCAACGACGGTAACAGCGGCACCGACCGTTGTTGGCTTTTTCCAGCAACGGCGTTCGGCTTCTATGTCCGGTGCTATCGTTGTTGGCTGTTTGTTTGTTGGTCGGATAGTGGTGTGGTGTTAACAGTTCATCCTTTTTTCTTGTTTCGTATTGTTTAAGTTTGTTTATCCTATGGTTTTCTATAATTTATTAATTTGTTGATAGTTTTGAGATGCTTTTGTGAAAAATTAAAAATTGTTCCTGTTTCGGAACAATTTACTTAGTTTATCTGTTCTACGCTATATATATCGTTCCAGTTTATTGTATATTTACTTTACATTCATTTTTTTTAATTTTTTTTTGTTCTCTTTTCTTTTTTTAATTCGAATATCACAACACGATTTATAAGTTACAAATAGCACTGAGCTTGCTGAAAGAAAACAAAGATGGAAGTTCTTTTTATGAACGTATTTTAAAGTTTTTTTTGTAGTGCTTTAACTTTTTATGTATGTCTTCATTTGGATACGTGATAGTAGTTTTTTTGCTTAGAGCTTTTTAAGTGCTGCGAAATTGGGTTTCCTCTTTTCTTCATTGAAAGCTAAAAGGAATTTCATTTCTTTTTTTTCCTCCATTTTATTTTTTGCTGGCACGCATAACTTGATGAAATGTATTGATTAAACGTTGACCATTTTATGCCTAAAATAATCATTGGCTTCTTTTCTGCTTCCTGACTTATTCCTTCTGTTTTCAGTAGTTCCCAGCAATCGTCAGTAAAAGAGAAA